AAAGTTCCGTACCTGCAAAAGCCATCGGAATATTAATCGCGCCAGCTTGAAGCGCAGAGCCAATGGTGAAGATGACGACAGCTATGATGATGGATCCTTTGCGACCGAAGCGATCGGCGACTGGTCCGTTGACGAGAGAACCGAACCAAGCAGCGAGTAGCAATGTCGAGACGAACCAGCCCTTGAAGGAGCTGTCTGTAGAGATCCTCGGGAAGGATGCCGCGAAAGACTCCATGGTCAGCACTCCAGAGACGACACCTTGATCATAACCGAAGAGGAAACCGCCCAACGAGGCGAACTATGCATGTTAGCTAAAACTGAGGTAAGTCAGGCTTGACACCAACTTACAGCGGACAGCCCAAGGAGATATGGGTTTTGTCTCAGCTCTTTGTAGACACCAATCTTTGGCGCAGCTCCAGCGGCGGTAACATCCTGTATTGAAGACATGATGGTCGTCTTCCTTGTGGATATGCCAATGTCGACTCCGATGGTTGGATGCAGCTATGAGTAGGCAGCCTAGTGGTGGTAGTGTCGCGTGCTTATATACCTTTGCCGATCGCGTGAGAACTTCACGATCGTATCACGTGTCCGAGTAAGCCTTAGCTTTAGTATCTTAACTATAGAAATTTAAAAAAATCTTAACTTAACAACTAAAGTATACTATTATAGTTATATACTACTAATACCTAAAAGAGATAGAATTATAAAATTTTTATACTTATGTATTAATTCTTCTATACTTATCTCTATCTAAGCACTTAAATATACTTTAATATAACTTTTACGCGCACGTAACACTATTAAAACTTAGCTTTAATAAATATAAGCTAATTAAGCTTATTAACTTTCTTAATAGAGAGTATTCTAGTTATATTACTAAGTATAAAGACGCTATTAACTAAAAACGTACGTTTCTACTTTAAGTAATTACTTATTATAAGGTTACTACTATCTTTATTTTTAATAACGCTTTTAATAATATTATTAAGCTTTTTATATACGTAAAGCTAAAGACTCTTAAATAACTTTATAAGAGAGTCTTTACTAATAACACTACTACTACTAATAAAATAATTATTAATATACTTATAGACAAATTCTAGAAGAGAGTATAAAAGTAAGTAAGATGTATTTTAGTTAAAGTCTAAAGTAAGTAAAAGTAATAGGTAGATTAAGTAGACTAGTAATTAATAAGCCTACAGGCATGCCCTAACGTCTTCTGCAGCGTGACATCGGGCTTCACAATTGTAGCTGGGGTCCGACACCTTCGGAGCACTGTCGTCCGACTCCACGATTCTCCATGCGTCTACGCCGGTAGTCATAAGTGCCATGCGGGATCCCCGCATGGTAAAGTTGCCTGATTCAGTCGTGGGAACTGGGGTTCCAACATGACTTATGCTCGGACAGCTGTCGCCCGAACTCCACAACGCCAACGTGATCTTTAGATCATAGCTCGTCGCATGCAGTACTGTAACACTGCTCACTTTATGCTAGTCTTTTCACCCGAACATCATACATTTTCGTGTCTCATTAAGGATTTCGTGTCTGCTATTCCAGAGTTACCGATGATGCCAGCCGAATCAAAGGTGGACGCCTTGCGTGCAGCCATACTCGATGTGGCCAAGCGCACGGAAAACCTTCTGTCTCGCCAAGCGACCAATCCCGGTCATCGCATGCTTGTCGCTCTGGCAGGCGTGCCAGGCGCGGGAAAGTCAACGGTGTCTGATGCGCTCGTCTCGGAGCTTGCTGCGCGAGGTATCAAAGATGTTGCTGTTGTACCCATGGTAGGAGCCAACCGCAACCCGCGATGCCACATCTCTGACGAGCACTAGGACGGCTTCCACTACACTCGGGAAATCCTGTCGACTTTCGATGATGCCGAAGTAGCGTTCAAAAGACGAGGAGCGCCGTTTACATTTGATGCGAAGGCGTGTGTGACGCTTGTCAAGACACTCAAAGAAGCTCCCGTCACCAAGGATGGCGAAGCCGACATCTGTATTCCTGCACCGGGCTTCGACCATGCTGTCAAGGACCCCGTGCAAGACGCTATCAAGATCTCTTCCCGCACTCGACTTGTTATTGTTGAGGGCAACTACACACTTTTGAAACAAGACCCATGGGATCAGATTGCAGATATGTGTGATGAAAGGTTGGTCATGGTCATATCATCGCCTGGCGGGTTGGTACTGACACTCTGTAGATGGTTTGTCGACGCGCCTGTGGACACAGTTCGTGATAGGTTAGCACAACGTCACCTTGCCGCTGGCATCGAGACGTCGATGTCAGCTGCAATCGCACGAGCAGAGGAGAATGACATTCCAAACGGCGAACTGATACGATCCTTGATGGTAAAGCCGGATGTCATCATCGAGAATTGAGGAATCGTGTCATTAAGATTGCGCCCGAGGTCAGAAACCGGACGTGGTAAAATCCCAATCGAAGGAGTTGAATAACTCATTGGACTCAACGGACCATGGAAATGTACTCAAGGCGTCTTTATCCAGCTCCAGATCCTGCAGTGTACCAGAGTCCAACTCGCCGTCAGATACCACTTGGTCGAGGATGGCCACGCAGCGTGCTGACAGCGAATCCCCAACAAGCCGTTCGCGGAAGGTGGTTCGGGCCAAGCGAACATCGTCGTACCAGATTGCAGTCTCCTCAGCGCGTGGGAAGCTGATGATGCAAAGGGTTATTACTAGTGCCGCGTGGAAAAGGAAGTACCTGTAACTGCATTAGCATATGTGTTCATTTCGGGTCCAATACAAGTACTTACGTCGCATACCAGCCCTCAAGTCTATTCAAGTCCTGTGTTGCATACTGATGTATCGAAACTACTGTAGAATGCGCAGCTTCAAGACATATTCGCTTACAGTCCTCTTGGCTTGACTGCATGGCTAGGTCTGGGATCTGACCTCGCTCGGAGATGGCTCGGCGCAACAAGATCTGTCGGAATATGATGATCTTGAGATTCCAGAATCTCCACCACAGCCGGGAGCGGGCGAATGAGTACCATGGAGCCGTCGATCTTGGTGCATGCGAAAGCTGGAAATATGTCGGAACTGTGTGTGTCCAAGCATCCATAGAAGCGTTCAAAGCAAGCGCGGCCTCCGCAGAGAGCCCGGGTTCGGCCAGTAGTTTGTTTGAGATGTGGTTCGTCTGTAGGTGAAAACTACTCTGCACTCTGAGAGAGGAGTATATAGTCGGTTCGTCAACCTCAGTAGGTAGCGTTGTAGTTTGTGGTGTAAGTGACTAGCATAGGTCAGTTTCGCAAGGACTATACAAACTTCGCTGGACGGCCATACCTCGTCGTGAATGTTCAGCACAGGATGAACATCCATAGTCTCTTGGTCAGGCAACATGATAGCGCGACCGAATGTCGTCGAAGCCCCACTGTCGAAGATGTAGAGGCCCCACCATACTCTACGTCTCGTCTCGCGCTCGATCAGGGTGATGTTCCAGTGAGGAAGTTCTCTGTGGAGGGCTAGACTCAGCGCTGTGCGAACGCCGAGGCCCAACAGGTTCCATCCTGTGTTTGGGCTATTGCGCTTCTGACTAAGGTTGCTCAGAAGTATGAGTGCTTGTACAGAAGTCAGGCTGGCAGCTTCAAACACGGACTCTTCCTGACCCAAGGTCAAGGCCCGGCGGTATAGGTAGTCTTCCAGTCCGATTTGATCGTTATTCAACGACCACGCACCAAGTGCTATGATCGCATGAGAAAGCATGTTCCACGACTTCTTTGAGGGCCGCGGGACGACTTCATGGTACTGCGCTCGGAATGTTGCTTCATGGACAAATGGATAGACCACGTGGTAGTTGGCAAAGTAGGCATCAATCAAGCTCGACGACAGCTGTGTTGTGAGGGCTGCATGCGAGATGTGCGACGATGCCAATACGTTTCGAAAGGAAGCGGATGGGGCCGCCACACTCTGCTGAGGCCGGGGGACAGACTGGTGCAGAAAGCCGGCCCAGTCAAGCAGACATCGAAGGAAAACGACCCCAGAAGTCGAGCCTAGATGGTTTCAGTCACGCGTTTTGCTCTTCGAGTGAAGCAACTGACCCAAATAACCTACACCAGTAGGCTCGACTGACAGGGCGGCCATGCCATCAGTCAGCCCATCGACGTTGACGTCTTCTTCTTGCCAATTGAAGCCATCGACATTGTTGGGTACAGCTTCAGGTAACGCAGGCTCATGTGTGCTTGAGTGGGTGCTGCCCTGGGGGCTTGGTGCTACTTCTGGCGTCTGAGACTGGATGAGAACCGATCGTGCAGAGCCAGCCACATTCGGAGACGACAACAAGTCTTCAATATCAACTCCAGGTAGCAACTGCGTGACCAGAGACTCCAGACTGTGCAGTCGCTTCTCTACACCCGTGAGGTATGCCCGTGTCAAGGGTGATCTAGCGACTTTGCCACTGTAATGGCAGTGCGAGCCGCTATGGGCGCAGGAAGTGCATATTGGCGCATCTTTCGAGCACTTTAGCTTCTTCGCGCGACAACGATCGCATGAGAGAGCATCGCGTGGTCTTCGGTGCTCCATGCATGGAGCTTCTCTAGTGTGCAGAGGTGGGGGCGGGATGCGGATGCAGAAGCATCGCCGCCCACCTTGGAGTGCAGCTCGCGCGCTGATCTATGCCGAAATCGGCCCGAAAGGCCGCGCACCTCTCGTGTCCTCGACTCCTGCATAACTCATCATCGACTTCGTTGGAAGCAGCAGGCACTACACCCGCTCATCGTCTTCGTCTGAGATACTGTCGCGATATGCAGTGCGCACTACCTGCGAAGTCTGCAACAACACCGCCGCATGCACTACATTCGCTACAGCACAGAGAAGGATCACGGTGTTGCGGAAATATGTTGCATCCTCTTTCACAAGCTATTTCTGATTCGCATAGGTGTCCGAATTTACTTGCCGCAAAGATGTAGCTACACGCAATTTGGGTCACAGTTTGCGCAGCTCCAAAATGGCTACGAGGCCCTATCACCGCCAACGGTTGATGAACTAATCATCGCTAAGGTCCGCCGTCTCCACCCTCTCCACGGAATGCCAAAGCCAATCCTCGAAGTGATTCTTGCCAAAGTCTCTACCTCTTGGAGCATCAGCCCTGTTAGACCTCCACCTGCTCGACAACGACCCAAAGTCTGCGTGAGAGGCTGGGTTGTCTATCAGGTCCTTCATCTCTTGTGCATTCTCCCCATCTTCGCCCACACAGATGAGCAACGCCTTATACGCCCTCTCAGCGAATACGCTTGCTCGCGCCTTATCACTATGGAAGAGACTAAGCTGTACCGCATAACAGTAGATATCCGCCTCCGGGACTTTGGCAGCACCTTTAAACTCCTGGAAACCATTAGTATGGGCTTGCGGTCTCACTCAGCGTGATCACGTACCTTGTTCAAGAGTTCGACTATCTTCCGAAGGTCGAAGAATGCCTCTTCAGGCTTGAAGCTGGCACGATCTGTTGACTCAAATGTGTCCTGAAGCCGAGAGATCTCCTCACGACGCGCGTCGCTGGCATTCCGATGAGTAGCTGAGAGCGAGCAGATTGCACACGAACAGTCGAACCCGAAATGCTTCTTCAGGTAAGCCTGGCGAACACTGGCACTTCCAGAGTCGGTGTAGCAGATACTTATCTCTTCTCCAGCGCTAAGATCGCGAGTGACATGGATCGTCTGCATCCCCATGGAGTCATTCCAGTTGTAATGACTATTGGGAAGGCAGCTGTGATTGATGAAGCTGATGGTAGGAAAGATTGCAATAGCAGACAAGTTGCTGCCGCAAGCCATCGAGTTTGTTTTGAAGATACCACCGAGGACGTACTTTCCAGTGTAGCTGTTGTGGAGAGAAAAGAACTGTCGCTGCTGAGTCTTGTCCAGGGCCTTTAGATCTCGTGCGAGTCGAGCCTCCAGTTGCTCGTTGGACATGTTGTTAGGTATCATGAGCAGCGGTTTCTCGGAGAGGATACGGGTGCCTTCAGGAATGTCGGAGCGAGCGACCAGGCCTCTGCCTTTTCCGGGGATCTTTCGAACATCGTAGAGTAAGGAACTCATTGTATGGGATGCGGCAGTAGTGAAACTAATTCCAGCAGCTAAGTATATCTTTTGCGACCGCTGAGGCGAAAGCAAAGTTTCGTGATTATCACCCTCTGGTGTTGCTTTGGCAAAGACTTTACTCCGCTCGCTGAGTGATGAACGAGGGCAAGAGAATGGCAGGGGTGTAGAAGAAATAGATTGTGAGTGAGTGAGTGAGTGAGTGAGTGAGTGACCTTTTCTACACCAGCTAAGCGCAAACCAGGATCTCCTCACGCTGTCAAGCCGCTCTATCACCTCTCAAACCCACTGTTTGCTCCCACACCATGAAATCAACATTGTGACACGTGCGTGGGTATTTCTCACACCTTTGAGTTCGCAGATCAACCTGATTGCGATCGCCAGAGCCAGTCTTCAAACTCCGTCTCACCCAGACCTTCGGGAATATCACCTTGGCTCGTTTTCCAATTCAGAGAAGAATATCCAAAGAGGTGATGTGTATGTGGGTCGGCATGGAAATTCTTCATCGTCTGTGTTGTCAAACCATCCTCTCCGTCGCAAACGAGCCGGACGTCGTAACCTCTTCCTGCGAAGACGCTGGCACGAGCTTGATCACCATGCATAATGGCGATCTGGAAGGCGTCAAAATATAGTCTGGACTTCATGGTAGTGGCGCAACCTCTGAATTCTTCATTCAGGAGACGTACCATGTGTCGGCAGTGCGCTAAAACTTCACCCTAAAGCACACGAGCAAAAGTTAGCGGACGTCATAGAAGGTATGCGGAAACTCATTCTCGTGTCTGGTTTCGATCTGAAAGGTTGTGCTTACTATCACGACTTAGCCAAATGTGCCTCAGAATGGGGTCCGCGGAGATTGTAATACCTGGTTTGGATACGGCGTGCTCCATGTTACCCATGACCTTGTCAAGTTGCTCGATGCGAATACGGCGAGCATCGCTCTCTTGCCTCTCCGGTACTGGAAGCGAGCAGACACCGCAGTCGCACTCGAAACCGAACGATTCGATTAGAAAATCACGTCGCGCGTCGAAAGCCCCTTGCTCGCCGTAGCAAATCGTGATCTCCTCTCCCTGTTCAATGTCCCTAACTGCATGTATCATCTGGCTATTCTTCATGCTGTTCCAGCTATGCTGTGAATTGGGTACACAAGAGTGGTTGATCAGGCAGATAGTCGGGAAAATGCCGACGGTCGGTGGTGTTGACTCACATGGTAGAGCATTCGTCTGAAAGATACCGGTGAACTTATTGCCGTTTGTGTAGGTGTTGTAGAGATTAAGATATTGGCGTTGTTGATCCTTGGAGAGAGCTTGAACTTTCCTCATGATGTTATCATCGAGGCTATCAATCTTGCTAGCCAATGTAAGAAGTGGCTTTTCACACAGGATTCGTGTTCCCTTCGGTATGTTAGAGCAAGCTACAATGCCTCTTCCTTTCCCTGTAACTGGTCGTATCTCGTACAGTGGCGCTTTCGTCGAGTCGTCTGCGAGGGATGAGGATGCATTAAGTGACATGTCGGATCGATCACTAGAGTTGATCTAGACACTTCGCAGATGATTAATGAACTGCGCAGATTATATGTTAAGTAAAACTGATTGTGAGTCAACCGAGGGTCTGAAAACATGGCGAGCTTGCTCTCATGCTTTGTCCGAAAAACGACAAATCACTGGTAGCTGCGACTATACCTAGCCAGCACGCTTTTTGTAGCTTCTTCGGTGCAACGGATCGTACACGCATAGTCACGCGTCATGTTCGAAGGTAGAAAATGATCGTTTGTTTGAATCTCCTGCATGCACTACGCTTTCCAACTTCCAAACACTAGAACGTATGGTAAGTACCTGGGTAAGTGACACGACACCTGCATCAGCCTTGGCAGCCTGATCCGGCGCGCCCTCATGCTACAAGCTTATACCTAAGCATCAGACAATGGTGAGCGTCACCTTAGTTGTTGGACATTTTACACATACGTAGCGCCAAGTATTGGAGTATGCACCACACGATACAGTTGTTTCTCACATCTTGGGCAGCATTCCATCGACAGGTGGCTTGTTGGCGTCATGACAAACGCGAGATCGCCGGATCTGTCAGGAGGACTCGCACCAGAAACAAAGAATCGCGGCTCGGGCGGGTAAGGAGACGAGTTTTCGGTTCGAACGTGGATCCTGAAAGCCCAGTCATTACCCTGTCCCAGGAAAGTGCAGTGGGTACCTGGGCACTCTTAACCTTGAACCACCCCTTCATTCTCAGGATTACCACAACACATCCATTACTTGAAATGCCCAACGTCTGAGCGTTTGCGACCAGCGATCACGTCATATCACCTGTTACAACACTTATCTTCCAACCCAGCCTATTCCTACCCTTGATACCTTCCTCAATCATCCCGCCGGCTTTGAAGCACCAATATTACCAACATGTTCATCATATTAACCCTTGTCGCCTCCGCGCTCCTCTTGTTGACTACCTCTGTAGTCGCTCAAGGTGTCGGTCCCGACTTCACACCCGGTCGCTGTTCCTTCGACGCAGTCGTCACTCAGGATTGCTGGGACGACCACGCCAACACTTACGTCGATCTCTCACCCGTTTATGATGGCGCTGGCTACCAGTTTATGGAGCAAACCGACTTCATTGACTTGACCGATGGAGAGACGCTCACGGGCGTGGTTGCTGGAAAGAAACTAAAGATTGGATATGAGAGGGACAGCATCGGATGTGTGTATTATCGCGGGCCACTGGAATTGCAAAATAACTGACGCGAGATAGTCATCTACGGCGACGCTGAATGGCCTAACCAGAATGGAGACAGCGAGTTCAACTGCACCACTAAGCCGTGGGACAACCTGCCGCTGGATTGCAACGATAGTGACCGCAATCATCGAGTTAGTTCCCAAGATACTCTTCTGCTTACTCCCACTGACCATTCTTGAAGTCTCAAGCCCTCACCTGCGAGTTCGACTGCACAAAGCCCGAGTCAGACTTCACCGTGAAGCGCGCGCGCTCCGAGGCGCTTCCCGAGATGCTTTCGATGCCACCCAGTCCAGCCGCTACCAACTCACCCTCTGTGGACTACGCCCCAGGATTCTGCTCCTTCAAGCTGCAACTCTTCCAGCAGTGTCTTCACACGCCCGCTGAAGGCTGGCACAACCAGATGCTTGGCATGCTTTACAGCGTCGAAGACAACAACCGTAAATCCGTCATCACGTACCCTGAGGGAACCGGTCGTATCGACAAGAGTGCTGTGAGGCTGTTAGGCATGGGCGGCTTGATTGTGTTCTACAGGTCGGAAGACAAACAGATGTACTTTGCGTTTGAGCCGAAGGGTGGCTACTGGAGCACTCTGACTACCAATACCCCCGATGCGATGGGCATGTGCTCTTGGAACCCGTGGACGCGCGGCGAGACTGACTGTGATGAGAGTCACCAGAACGATCACCCGAGGGTAAGTTATCCTGGGATTCCTGAATGGCACGATGACTAACGGCGTTGCAGCTTTCGGACATGACCTGTGGGTTCTGGTGCTAAGAAACCCGGGGTGAAGCCAGCGATGGCACATTGGAGGGATGTAACGTTGTCATGTCGATATTGACCGAGATGGCTGTCTGAATACATTGCGCCGCCAAAGGGTGTTGGAGGATATGTTGAAGGTACTCGTCTTCCGGCAACGGGTGCTAAGCATGCTGGCGTTGCATCCATCCATATCTCCAGCTCAAATATGATTCTGCTTTCTGTCAAAGGCCTGTAGCCATCCTTCCTACCTGGTACATGCTTATGCAATTGTGCGCTAGTAGAAGCTATGGCATGTCATCGAGACGCGACCTCGGGCTGTTCGTGACGCGTGAGTAGCGACAATATACATCCCAGCCACCAACCGTGCCAGATCGAGACACGGACAAAGACGACGGATATGACGTTCGTGGTCTCCGCTCACTGCCCATTGGCCGGATTGGGTGCTGTGCCACGCGCAGAGTGCACGAGCATATCACATGCCGCGAGCAGCAGGTACGGCCAGGACGCATCGGTCGCCCTGACGTAAGCAGCGGATTGCACGGCCACACTCAACGCGTGACCCGGCAGTGGATCGTGAGGTACCCGAGGGAGTTTGCGACTGTTACGTGGTGTTGTGTTCAAGATTGGAGGAGCGGACACGCCATTCCGTAATAGCCAAAGCCCCCGCGCTCGTGACCCGCTCCCGAGTCCTTCGACGCCTCAGTACCGTAAGCTCAAGTCGACGATAACAAATAGCAGAATTGCGCGGAGTCATACACGAAGACCTTCCTGTAGGCGTTACCGTTGCGCACACTTGCAGCACATTGCATGCAGGTACCGTCTCGCTGGATTGAGGAGCCTCGGCGGTATTCCAGCCCTTATCAGAGCCAAAGTCCGCCAGCTCTCAGCCGGTGCAAGCCGACCGTAATCCACCACCACCATGTCGACGGCGGGCTCCAACGCTTCTCCACCGCCGCGCACGCAGAATGCCCAGCACACGCGCACCTACCAGGCCTGTATCCCGTGCAGACGGCGCAAGGTGCGATGCGGTACGTTGACGCTGCAGAGTGCTTATCGCGCAATTGCTGATATCTCCAGATCTTGGCCCGGTAGATAACCCACACGATCCGCCCTGCGTGCGATGCAGGAGGGAGAGTAAGGAGTGCTTCTTCTCTGCGACACGCCGGAAGCGCAAGGCCGACGGCGAGGACGACTATGACGAGGTCGACGACTACGAGCTGCGCAATGGCCGGAAGCGCCAGCGCTCAGATGGCCTGCCGGAGCCTCTGATCACCACGACGACCAACCCGGCGTACATATCGCAGCCTCTGACCCCAGGCGGCTCCATCGGACGATACGAACCGCTGCGACGGCCGAACACGTCGGGCGGCCACCAGCCCACGCCCAACGAGGAAGAGGACCAGAAGGTGAACAACGAGACGGTCGCGACGCTGCAGGCGGGCGAGGTCTACAGCGGCCACGATGCGCTGAACCTGCTGTTCGAGGCGGCGGGCATGAACAACCACCACCGCACCGGAAGCAGCTCGAGCATGCAGCGACCGACCCTCGGCAGCACCCCAGGCTCGCAGACCAACTTCGCAAGCCCCCGGCCCAACACATCCCATGCGCGCGCCAACTCGCGCCCCACCGTCGAGCCCTCGGTCGATCCGGCTATACAGCAGCCCATGCTGCCCGACCCGCCGAACGAAGCTGCCTTCGCCGACGCCGTGAGAGCCTGGTCAAAGTTCCGCTTTGTGCGCGCAGGATGGCTCACGGCAAAGGAAGCAATCGCATACATCGACTACTTCTACGCCTTCCTATCGCCGCTCACACCCATCGTCGTGCCCGACTACCGCGATCATGCCTTTCACGCGAAGCTGCTTAAGGAGGAGCCTATGCTGGTCATCACCCTATTGACCATCTCGGCGAGGTATTCTCAACCCAGCGGCTCGAGCGGTGTTGGCGCAACATCTCGGTCATACCTCATCCACGAGAAGCTATGGAAGTACCTGCAGGGCATGATAGATCGCATGATCTTCGGACAAGAGCAGTTCGGCGGCGGCTTCTGTGGCGCAGGCCAGCAGCCTGGATCCGACGTGAACCCTCTGTCGCGGAAGGGCCTTCGTACACTTGGCACTGTCGAGAGTCTGATGCTACTCACCGAATGGCATCCTCGCGCGCTGCACTTCCCTCCTGGCGATGACGACGACGAACTCGTTCTCCCCGACGACCCCTACGAGGCAGGACCGAAGGCTGATATGTACAAAGGCGTGGGCGATAAGCGCATCGACAGTTGGCTGGAGCCGTGCTGGCGCAGTGACCGCATGTGCTGGATGCTGCTGGGCAACGCCATGACGCTCGCGTTCGAGATTGGTGTCTTCGACGAGACGAACGAGACCGAATTCGAAGAGGCAAATCAGCACCTCTCGCATGCGACAGTGAAGGCCTATTACCGGAGGAAGAACCATCTTCGCGACTTGCTCATCATATACGTCACCCAGACCAGTGGCAGACTGGGTCTCACCTCCATGCTTCCCAAGCTTGAGCGGGACGAGAATCTAGTTGGCGGCCCTTCACCACTTGAGCTATACAAAGAGCGCATCAGTCGCATCAAGGCTCCTCCAGCTCAGTTTGGAATGCGCTCAGATGGTCAACGCCTTCCCCTTGAATCCATCGCTACCCAAGAACGCCATGCTGTTCAAGATCTCGTGCTCGACTTCTGGGCTCGCATTGCCAAGGTCATGGAGATGGGAAACCTGAAGTTGTTCTCCAATCGACGCAAGACCAGGGAGTTGCTCAAGTCAGGAGGTTACGAGGAGATGCTGAAGTTCTTCCAAGGGCCATTGGTGGAGTGGAGGAAATGCTTCGACCGAGCGCCTCAAGGTAGGATTGTGATTGAACTATTCCTACGTACTCCGTTTAACAACCTCTAGTTCCGGCGCAACTCCGCCACGTCCTCATCATCGAGTTTGAGTACACGCGTGTATATCTCAACTCGCTCGCTCTCCAGGCGGTGGTAGAGCGCTGCACACACAACACTCCGCTACAGACACATGCTCAGCCCAATGGCATGAACGGACGCACTCCAAACAGCAACAGCAACGGTAATGGCACCGGTAACGATGACGGCGGCGCTATACCCTTCAGTACACTCGTCAAGTGGTACGCGAACGATCGCCACTACATAAACGAAGTCATCGATGCGTCACGCAACGTACTGAAAGTCGTGGTGGAGGGGCTGCATCCTGGTGGCTATCTACGGCATGCGCCAGTGCGCACGTTCTTCCGCATCGTCAGTGTGGCCATAATACTGCTCAAGACATTTGCGTTGGGCGCAACCGAAGAAGACGTGGCCGTCAGCCTTAGCCTACTCAGCGACTCGGTCGATGCCCTACGAACGAGCATAGTCGATGATGTGCACGTCGGTAACCGCTTCGCTGACCTCGTCGAAACCCTGACCCACCGCATCCGTTCGCGTTTCGTGCGCCTTGCTGCCAACGGCTCGAGTGGCATATCCCGCGCTGGGAGCAAGAGCCCGAACCAGGCACCATTGATGCCTCCGCCCGCTCCACTCAACAACACCAACCACCTGGCACCGGCATACATGGGATCACAGCAAACAGGCTTTTCTGGTACTGGTACCAGCGTGCCCGGCTCTCCTAGCATGGGTCTCGGTGCCAGCGGTCGCGCAACACCTCTTTGGGGTATTTCAGCCGAACCCTACGACCCCAACAGCAACTCCATTAGCATCATGCCACCGCCTGGCAACTATCAGAATTACCAGAACAACAATACAAACAACAACAACTCCAACGGCAATAACAATACGAACTGGAGTCAGTGGGCGAATAGTGGCGCAAGTTGGGGCGCCGGCCAAGATCAGGACTGGCTTGCACTACCACTTGATCCTTTGCTGGATCAGTGGGGTGCGGAGATCAACCAGACGGCTATGGGACCGGATATCGGTGGTATGGACATGTTAGATATCCTTTTGAACATGGGCGGGCCGCCGGGTAGTGCCTAGGCTATGTGTTCTGGGCCATGCGGACGGGAAGGATGATGAGTTTTGATACGAGAGAATACGTTAAAGTTTCATGGTTGGCTGGGAGTCACGATGTTACGAAAAGGTCATGGAGATGGGATGGGTGTCTACATCTCTAGTTGATACGGTTATGGGAAGGGAAACTATTCACACGCGATACCAATTCGTGGGCTGTGGTTTCGAGTCGCTTTCCGCTTTTATTCTGTCGAAGTGCTAGTTCTCGTGAGGCATGTAGAACTTGCAACAAGAAAAGCACGGTGTCTGCTTTTACTTGGAACACGAGAGTTTTGTCCCCCAGAAAGACCTGGTGATGTGATGTGAATACTGACCGCATTTAGCTTTGACCCAACGAAAGCCACTTTGCGAAATGTCATGTCTGCGGTCTTCCGCAACCTCTCCGGTTTTTCGACGACGGGCCGGTTCACTGCACTCCATGCATTTCCTCGGTATAATTTTGACACGCATAGGCGTTGGTATCATCATCTTTGGAAGTTATAGGCATAGTCAAGGAACATTACGAACGTTGAATCCGCCAGAAGGTCGGGATTATGGCAAGTAGGCTTCTAGACGGGACCATGAGCCATGTTCACGGGGCTTTTGGAAAACAGCAGAGCACATGGATTCATCGGATTTGTATTTTTGTATTTGTTTTCCAGACAAGGGTTTGAAGATGACAGGTAGGATAGGTACTGCAGGAAGTATCATGGCTTCTGGTATTCCGAACGAGACGTCATGCGCGTTTTGTGAGGCTGTTTTGGGTCACGCAAAATCCATATAAATTCTCGAATGGCATTTTTACTGATCATTGTGCCATTGTTTCTTTGCGCGAGAGGAGAGGCCAAGCACATGCGTTGATACGGATACCTTTTTTGGAGAAGAAAGGCGGAACATGTGATGCACATGGCTTTTATTTGGTGGAGAGCAAAGAATGAATGGAGATAGAGAGGTGAAGAAGGAGCCCAGCGGTTGCTCTTATGTACTCAGACCTTACTGGATTTATTGGCTAACGAACCTGGACCGGACAAGAGCCATGTGATGACTGGCCGCGTGATTTGGTAGTGGAGCATCCAGAATACGGGTACCAACACGGCCAGAAAGACAAACATAGTGACTTTGTATCCTTGTTTTGAGATGCGACGGGAATCGCACGTAGCTTTCACTTGCGAGGATTATGTCTCTAGAACAAGAGAAGAGGCCAAAGAACATGAATGGTCGTAATATTATTTTGAAATGGCGCGTATGCAGAGAGCGACATTGGGGAAGCAATCAGTCTTTGAGGAGGAGACTTCATAGATTGATCGTCATTTTCACAGACCATAGAGCAAGGCAAAGGATACTTTCATGAAATGTGCTGGGTAGCATTTTGTAGAACTGTACGAGCGATAAAATAATTTTCAACCCTGTCTACTTTGCAACACTTTATACGACCTCACTTTTCCGCAAACACATAACAATGTCATCTGTGCTTTTTTGGTCCGATTTCCGAGAAATTGAAGACATAGCGAACGTCATGTGTTTGAACTACACAAAACATGAGGTTCGGCGGTATTGTTCCGGAAAGAAACAGGACGCATGTCATGCTCCCTTGATGCGTTTATTTTTGGTCTGACAAACAGGAAGTGATGAAGATAAGAAGAAGAAGAGGAACGATAGACGGGCAGTATCTTATACCCTCTCTCTAACGCACGGTCTCTTCCACGTGGATGATAGTCGTCTTTTGCTTTTCTTCGCAAATGTCATGAAGTAGAGCTCTCGATATACATTAGCAACGAAGCTGTCCATTTTGGTCGTGGTGTGTACCTAAGAACGGGCGACAGGTGCGACAGCACATAAACAAAATCTTGTGGACTTTTGTTCCAGGCAACCCAGCGAAAGTCATGCACAGCTTCCATTCTGTTTTGAGAAAAGAGCGAGTATTATTATAAAGTCATAACAGTGTCCTTGTGTTTTTGCTAAGTGAGTGGAAGATGTCGCAGTAGTCTCAGCTGAAGGATATGTCTGTACATTTCGTAGCCAAGGACCCAACACATTAATCGTGTGCTTGTAGTTTTTTAAGAAAGCGCGGAGCAGCGCAGCATCTTGTTATTGAGCCAGAATTTCGACGTGTCGACTCTGCAAAAGAGAGAGAGGACACGATAAACCGCGTAGCTTGCAGGTATCGCTCTTCACAGTTTGCAAAGTTCTTTTGTAGATATATTCAGACTTCATAGTGCAGACTAGAAGGAGTGCAGCCATTGGGCAAGCTATGCGACATTTTTTCATCGGTCGATAACAACTCAAACACGACATCACATCGTTCGTTGCCAATTTTGAACTCGTGGCACGCCTTAGAGATCTCATCAGGCTGATTTCCTGATGTTTTGGGAACCTATACACCATGCCCGCCATGGGATAGGTTTCCTTCCATTTAGGTGCAAGAGGAAAGAGGTCGAGGCAGACACATGACGGGGAAACAACAGCCTTTTGGAAAGAAGGCATGAGAAGGCGCAGACGTGCTTTCGCGTATCCTTTTGAATTTTGTACAATTTGTGTGCAGGAGAGAAAAGTGTGGAAGGACTCGGGGGACTTTATGTATGCCCTGGTGAAACGTCACGTGTACCTTATCGATTGAACGAGGATCCATCATATCGTTCGCCTTCATCATCGCCATGCTCGTTTCAATTCATAATCTAAATGGCCCCGTGTTCCTCTTCGATCCTACAACACCAGACTATCTCTTCAACGTCTTCTGCTTCTCCGCATCCACAACCACCTTCTCACCCGCAACCCTCAATCCCTTTCTCCTCCTGACCTTATCTACGTATCGTTTGGCGACATTCTCTCGGTCCGCCAACTCACCCAAATCCTCGAGCTGATCTTCGGTGAACGGCACCCAGAAGGGGTCTTCGTCCAGCATCTCAAAGCCAGCGAAGCGCAATTGCGGGCTAGCAGATCCAGAACTGCGTTTCCTGATCTCGTCGCTGAAGCCGAAAGATTCGGCGACGGGGAGAAGCGCGTTGATGGTGAAAGTCTGCGATCCAGTGGTAGATGCGGAGGAAGTAGATGAGAGTGTTTCGGACAGAATGGTTCCGCGGCGGCGCGTCAAGACTGCGTAGACGCGGCCGAGGACGTCGGTGGAGGCTTGAATCTCGCAGCTGTACATTGCGAGAAGCATGCGAGGTGACCAGTCCAGGAAGCCTTGGTGAATCGATGAGCGTACGGCTTTGATGACTTCACCTGTCAAGCGACCGCGGTCCTGTGCACTCTCGTCGTCGGGAATGTTAAGTATGACGTCCTCAAGGAAGACGGCGATACCCTGAACGGGCTCGGCGCAACATGGGCCTTGCGCGGTGGCAAGCTGGAATGCGTATGAGATTGTAGAAGAGAAGGTGCGCGCGGAAATGGTGCGGTCGGCGGGGTTGTCTGCGTCAGCGTCTGGGGATGTTGATTCGCGGAGCCTGCAAAGAGTTAGCAATGAAGTGAAGACATAGACAGGGGTACGCACGCTCTACCACATATCCCATCCTTGGTCGCATCGACGAGGATGTTCGGTCCTATCCTACGAGGCCCAAATGCTGTGATCTTCTCAATGACTTCGGTCCAGATTTCCTTCTGTCCCTTCGCCTCTGCGAACGCTTCTTTGAGCTGCTTCTTGAACTCCTCAAAACTCAGACTCTGTCCGATTTCGCGCTGTTCTGCTTCTTGAATTCCATCGTCCTCGACGCCATGTACATTATGTGGAGCATGTTCTCCTTCGTCTTCGGCTCGTCGATCAGAGTACAGCTTCTTAATAGCACCTGCATTCTTCCCCAGGAATTCGGTGACGCTGGCTGGTAGTGGCCGGACTCGAAGGCGAACTGAGACGTGCTTGCTAGCTGTCTCGCCAACAACAGTACCTCGTGGCAGGTTGGGGTCCTTTGGCGGGTTCATCTCTGTTGCAGCCACGATCGACTCTCGGTATGGTACGATGGGCTCACCAGCCTGGATCTCGCATTTGGCGAATCGCTCTTTGAGGTCCTTCAGGCATCGCTCCAGATGCAATTCACCGGCTGTCAAGATGACATGCTCTCCACTTGGTAGCTGCTCATACTCTGCGCATGGGTCACTCTGAACGAGGAGCTTTAGACCCTTGATCATTTTGTCTAGATCGTAGGGGTTCTCGGGTTCGAGCGCAACACGCACAATAGGCTCTGAACCCATCTGAACCCCAGCAAGATTGAGCGATCCAGGAAGCTGAGAACATAGCGTCCCCGACTTCAAGATGTGACCCTCGAGCCCACCGATACCGAAAACGACACCAGCGGGGACAGTTGTGAGAGGCTCTAAGCCTCGCCCCATCATCAGATATAGCGCAGTGATCTTGACCTTCTGCGGCTCCGGAGCGGCGTGTGGGTTGGCTGGGGTAAACTTCGGGCCGAGGACGTAGACTTCATCGCCGACACTCAGAGTACCGGAGAAGATACGTGCGAATCCGATGAGATGCTCGGCTTCTACGTCCGGCTCTGGTGTCTCTTCGACAGGCGTCTCAGTCTCGCCGATGGCGGCAGAGCTCAGAGCGTCGGTGACACTACCGACCTCAGCATCCTCACCGTTGGCGATAGCCTGCTGCCGGGCGATCTCTGCTCTCTTCTTTCGCCCCATCTCCCTGGCTTCTTCAGCCGTGAGCGCACCACCCCTTCGTTTGTTCTGTGGTAGTTCGCTGGAGGGTATGGAGATCATCTTGCTGACGTAGGCTACGACAGGATCGTTCTTGGAGGCCTTGAAACTGGTCATGGCGTCGCGCACCTCTGGAGCAACGTAGTCGGCACCCGGAGAACTGTCGATGAGTTCAGGCATGCGCTCGGATTGCGCTTTCGAGGGTGGAGGCAGGTATTCGGTGACGGAGACTAGTAAGGCGGTCGATAGCGGAAGCCAAGCTGCGAAAAGTGCCATTAGGAGTGCGCGCGGATCGCGCGAGCGCATGATATGTGCTGGAAGATTAAGGTTGAGCGATTTGGTAATCTTCTCAACCAAAGCAGGATCTCTGTAATGGAAAGTATAAGTATATTGCTATGATACATGCAGACAAATCACGCAAGGGAAGGAAATCCACGCACCCCTTCCCGTTGTTACCTCCTGTGGTGGCCTCGTATACGGCCCATATGTTGTCTAGGACGAGCTGAACGAACATGGGCTTGAGGTGGCGGCCCTTGAGATGCTTGGAGCTGAGTACGCGCTTCGTCTTGGGGTCTAGGTAGAAGTCGCCCCAGAGTACCTTTTCGAGGATGGAGCGCTTGATGCCTAATTTCTTCTCGTACAGGCTGGCGAACTGTCTTACCGTAAATGCCCAGCCGTCGATGGCACTGCCGAAAATCACATTGTTCTTCTCGGGGGCGAAATATATGTCCTCGTCATCCTTTTCCTCGTACTCAGCGGGCGTGTTGGTGGTGTCTATGCTGTCGCCGTTTTCTAGTATGGATGAGGATCGCGTGTCAGTCTTCTCAGCTGCAGCATTTAGTCTCTCTTCCATCTTCTCGCGCCATCGGAGGTCATCTTCCATGCGCTCGCCTTGGTAGAAGCTGCCCATGACGGCGTTTACCTGTTCGAGCAGTTTGCTCAGATGTGTATATGCCTCTCCAGGGCTCATCTTCAGTTCTGTGATTAGCCTGTCCATCTTGTTGATGACGAGCAAGGGCTTCAGCTTCTCTATCCATGTCTGTCGCAGGACTGTGACAGTCTGACTACACACGCCTTCGACGGCGTCTACGAGCACGACAGCGCCATCGCAGAGACGTGATGCTGTAGAGACCTCGTAACTGAAATCTATGTGTCCGGGCGAGTCTATGAGGTTGATCAAAAATTCCTTTTGCTCTGGCTGTGCTTCGGGCGCAGACCGTCGCAGCAGGGAAAAGTATAGCGAGATGGCAGACGACTCCATGGTGATGCCGCGCAGCTGCTCGTCGGGTCTCGAGTCGAGGTAGCGAATCTTGCCGGCGAGTTTGGGGGAGATGATGCCGTTGGTGGCGATGAGGGCGTCGGTGAGGGACGTTTTGCCATGGTCCTGCTGCATTCAGCACATGTCGCAGTCACGCGGACAGTCAACGTACCACGTGAGCGAGGATGCAAATGTTCCTGATGCCATCAGCCGCCTGCTGCAGCGACACCAGCTTGTCGCTCGGAACGACGGGCATCCTGGGCGAGCGTGGTCGAGACTCGGAGCTAAAACTGCTGAGGCGGTTGTCGTGTTTCGCGTGTCGATGTGACCCAGTCGGGCGCGGGGAGGGCCGTCTCGCTGCAGATCAGAGGCGCGCAGGCCAGAAAGGGCAAATTGGAGGGGTGGAGGGGATGCAGCAGTGGTTGAGGTTACAGATTCGTTGTGTGGTTTGGGATCAATGGGCGTTGAAGATTTGGATGAAACAGAGGCGCTACCACCCCGCCGCGTCACTATGGCTCATGGGCAAGCTGCACCCTGACATCAGACCCTGCTGACGGCGACAGACGCCCAACGGCCACCCTGCGGTCGCGTCGCATCGCGTGCGTGTTAGTCGTGGGATCATCGTCGCCGGTCTTTTGTTTGACCTCACCACTGCGACTCGGGCCTTGGTGCTGGCCACGTCCTTATAGCCTGTGCGCCTGCCGTTGCTGGTGTGGTTCGTGCCTGCCCCATGCCCATGCATCGCCCCTGTCGCCCTTGCCGATCTTGAATAACAGTCTGGATATAACGACCGCGCTCGAGCACCGCAACGCCCCTATAGCCTCCCGCCTGCCTGCCTTCACCCATACGTACCACTATCGACCCCGCCTGCCTGTCCGTGAATGTGACTCCCACCGCCGACATGGCAGCGACACTGGACGGCCAGCACACGCCCGCCAAACCCGTGGCCATCCGCTCTGCTGGCATGAAGCTGGACCCGCCCCATATACAGAGCCTCAAGATTGCGAATGCCAGCGTCGACATCATGTCGCCCGTCAACCAGAACGGCTGCTTCGAGTTCGACCGCATCATCAAGGCCGGCACCGTCGTGAAGCGCACGCGCAAGACAAAGGCACGCATGCACGCACGCTGCCGACAGGCACGCCATGACGTCTACTAACACGTGCACAGCAATGGAAGCCCGTCTACCTCGTCCTGCGCCCCAACTGCCTGTCCATATACAAGGACAAGGACGAGACGAAGCTGCGCCACCAGATCAACCTCTCCGAGATCACGGCCGTCGCGCGCCAGAGAGACTCGAAGAAGAAGATGGAGCATGTCTTTGGCATCTTCTCGCCCGCCCGCAACTACCACCTCGGCGCAACCACCGACAAGGACGCCCAGGAGTGGGTGCACCTCATACGCACCGAGGCGCGCATCGGCGAGCACGAGGCCGAGATGACTGTCATGAGCCCGACCACCGGGAGGAAGACGTTTTCAGGCTTCGGTCGCGCGGCCAGAGAAAACATCGTCTCCAGCTCCTCCGAGACAGAGCCGAGGCCCTCGAGCTCCATCGCCCCCGAGCACATGCACAGCGCCCGGCGTCCATCGCAAGCCCTCAACTACTCCGGCGGAGAGCGCGGCTCCATCTCCGACTTCGACTTCTCCGACACCAACCAAGCCTCCGCCCAGTCTCTTCCGCGAACTCCGCAAACGCAGCGCAATGCGAGCCAGCAGAGCAACATTGGCGCTACACCCACCAACGAGCGCGTAGTTTACCACGGCTGGCTATATGTTCTCAAGTCCAAAGGCGGCGTGCGCCAGTGGAAGAAGATCTGGGTGGTTCTGCGGCCAAAGTGCCTTGCCTTTTACAAAAACGACGACGAATACTCCGCGACCCATATCATTCCCTTTTCCAGCATCATCGATGCTGTCGACATAGACCCAGTCTCGCGAAGCAAGCAGTACTGCATGCAGGTCATATCTGAGGAGAAGAACTACAAATTCTGCGCTTCCAATGAAGACTCGCTGGCCAAATGGCTCGGCGCGTTCAAGAGCTTGCTGGTCAAGAAGAAGGAGTTACCACAGACACGCATACAGCAGGCGACCCCCACCGCCATCAACACGCAGCAGCAACCCCAATCGTTCTTGCCGTCACCCATCGCGCCAGCTCAGCAGCCTCTCACAATTAGATGACCACCGCTCAACATACCCGACATTTACTCTGACAACAATTGTACATACGCTGGCACACGTATACCCTCACCAACCGACCTTCCACCGCCACCACTAATCGCGCAAACATTCTCTAACCCTATCTCCTTACGATACCATCACGATTTACGACTTAGCCTTACCGCCGCCCATTGACGGGGCCCTTTGATACCAGTTGGATACTTTTGCTCGACGATATTGGATATTGTAGCATGTTCCTTCGCAGATTGTTTCCTTTGTCCAGACTTGTCCCATCTTGTCGTCAACAGTAGTAGCCTTTGTAATATGCTTGTCGCCCTTGATCTGGGCTTGAATTCAAATCTCATAGCTATGTTTGATGACTCCGCGATTTTGCGTGCGATATGACGACTGCCACAACTTTTGGCTCTTGACTTTACGATCAGACTGATGGAGAACACATGTTCGAGGCATGGCGGGACGGCGCGCTTGCCCCTCTTACGACCAATCAGGATGGCACGATAGCTGTCCAAATCTGACGCTAGGCTGGAGTCGAGCTGAACCCCGGAGAGGCTGAGGTCTTCATCTGCAACTGCATGCACATATTAGCGTCTGACTCTCACTCTTCCTTCAGCTCAGCTTTTGGCCCCCACACATCATGTCTGCCTTGCCTTCTTCTCGTCGCCTCTCCCATGCCGTCGCAATCCCGCCCGCCAACTTCCAGATTACCTATCTATGGAGGGCCAAACGCAAGATTCGGAAGCCACGCCGCGTCTCCCACGTCAGTATCAGGCTGAGGTGCGCGAAGCTTCCGTTGATGAGCTTGCGCATGATGATTTGTATGGGGGCGGAAACCAGCCCCGACACGTATCATTGAGCGAGGCTCCTGACGCAGAAAACTCCCAATGGATAGCCGACTACTTCACCGAGGAGCCCATCGATTTTGCTCAAGAGCTTCAATCGACCAGCGCGGGGCATCAGCAACCCTCTACCACGCGCAACGATGGTCGTTCAGGGAGGAATTACCGGCGACCGTCACGACCCCAGCCACGAAACACTTCACGTGTGGAGCCTGGGACGAATAGTTCTAGAAACGAACCGGCGCTCAGATTTGAGCTCCCGCGCCGGGTCTCAACTCCCGAAGAATCAGAAAGCAGTATTATCACCGAAGACTCTAGTGAGAGCGAGTCATGGTCATTGAGCAGCGAAGAGGAGACGCCTCCGAGAGAGTCCCCTCTTTTACAGCCCAACCGCTATGCGATGCATCCAGTGGACATCGAGGGCAACAGGCTCTCATTTCAGGTGCAGACCAAGCCTTCGAGCAGCAGCATCGCCCTAAGTGAAGAATCTGATAAACCCGAAAACAAGGAGGGCCTCGGAGCAGAGAAGAAGGAACCGGGAGACAAGAATCTGGAGATACGGAGAATCACCAGAGCAATGCCGATCGAGTCTGGCGCCCAGAACATGCTTCAAATCCACACTCTACCAAGTCTGGCGAGCCCTCGATTGCGGACAAGCATAGCAACAACATGGTACCACCTCAATGGTAGTCATCTCGACTTTGACCGCTTCGAAAACGTCTGCCTCAATATCCCACGTTTGTCTGACCGCCTCCAGGCCCTTACCCGCGAGGTCTTGTTGAAACTGCGAGGCGAAAAGACTAGGCCATTTGTAGGCGGTAGATTCATCGAGCCAGGGACCGTTCTTCGAGCCGACGAATCCGATCCAACAGACACCCAGTCCGTGATTTTCAGCTGCGTACCTTACTTCAGTCTCCAACAGGTTGTAAAGCCTACTACTGGGCAAGAAGATTCACTGTTCTCTCCACGTACCTTGATGCAGGCTTTGTATCCGTATGAATCTGTTCGTGAAAGAGATGAGGAACAATCATACAGGAGGTTTGGCAATGATCCGATGAATAACATCGTTCATGTCCCCAGCCTGTGGATCATCAACATTGGATCTACTGCTATTGTGACATACGGACACGAAACTCTGCCTACAGCGATGAAAAATTCGATCGGCATTGTTGAAGAAGATATTAGGCTTCTTGGCAGGCAGAGCATCACAAAGAACACTCTGACCAAGGTTCACATCACCAATCGCGACGGGAGCAGCCTCATATATCCCATAGGTGATTTCAGATCCTATTTCCAGCTGGAATCGCGAATTGTCCACAGCAATCCTTCTCTCGAGGGGCCTCTTGTTGGCGAAGGGATCAACTTGAAAGTCGAGGATGTGGATGGGGCTACTATAGCCGGGGCCGGGAACTGGAAAAACATCGTCTCTCGAGCAGTCCAGCTTGTCTCGATCACCATTACAATTCCATACGACCAGATTCGTGACGGAAGAGATGAAGAAGCTTCGACCGCAGAACCAGCGGCTGTCTGCACCCCCACGTGTGTTCCGCCCTTCTTTCACTGGTTGCAGTCCAAGACCAACGATCTTTCTCATAGAAGTGGGAAGCCGGTAGTACTCGGTACCACCGGGAAAGACCGGTCCATCGCCTGCCTGGAGTACGTGGAGAAGCTCATGACGTCGAGGTCTCTTGTTCGTTCAACCAGTCCTGTAGAAGATGCTTTCACCTCAACCAACTACTACCACTCCTTGCCTGAGACGGTATGTGAAGGCGTTTCCACGCGACGGTCCGAATTACAAGAGCTTGGCAAAGCAACGCCCCTACCGGAGTCGGGTTCCATAAACCACAAGATGATTGTCACCACTCATTGCCGTAAGATTTTGACAAGATCAGTCGAGTTTCTCGACACCGTCTGCAAAACTTTAGCTCTTTTCGTAGATGACCTTGATAGTAGCATCATGCTTCGAAAGCTATCGGGCGCACTGCAAAACATCCATCAGCAAGTAACGACTATTGCGCAACGTGGAGCGGTTGAGCCCGACCCAGAGGAATACACGAACTCTGATTGGAAACACCCTGACATGCTAAACAACCGTATCTGGTCCATCCGCACCTCCGCTTGGGAGGTTCCATCTTCACTCCCAGAATCCAGGAAAACACTGCAAAGGTCGATTCAGCGTTGTATAAGATGCAGACGCCCATTCAGTAGCGCAACATCTGCAATGAAACATCTTGTGCGACATGTGGAAAAATATTCGGCTGGGACTGCACATCCTGACGCTGAGATACCGAGTTTCGAAGAACTGCAAGACTGGATAATCAATTCCGTACAATACCGGCGCGAACTGACGAATGCGAGCGCTTTGGTGATCCTTACACATGCTAGTGAGATCGCCAAAGACTTTCTAGTTCGAGCCAAAGAGCTTGCCGAGGGTGTTCAGAATGAAGATGGACAGTTATCGTCATTGTATACGCTGCCACAAGAACTGATTCACGCATTTCAAAAGATTGTGATCTACTACCTGGCGATCGAGCGAGCTTTGCACGAGAATGAAAAGACGTATGGACGCGACCCTCGGTTTCAGGACTCTCGCAAGCTTACAAACGATCCATACTCATCGAGAGATGTCAAAGTACTCAGACGCTTTGGTTTCCAGGCGCGGCGGTCCCTGCGCAAAGCTCGGTTTCTGTTCTGCGACATGGGTAGACCCGAGTTGCCATTGAACCTTCGCAAGCATCTTTCCCTGGGACCAGAATATGTGTCTCTATGGTTTATGAGAAGGTTGCTGATGAAACCTCTCGAGCAGTCCAAGACTATCGGCGACATGTATCATGTGTACGTCTCCAAAGTTGTAAGTACATTCAATTTCAACAGTACATCTCTGAGAGAAGAAGTGAGGAGCTATACACGCTTCGACAGCAGCGAGAATACGACGTGATACATTTTTAGACTTTGCTAACATGTATTAGCAATTCGAAATCAATCACAGACCAAGCAAGCGCCTTCTGCGGGCCATCAACTTGATCCAAGAAGAGTTACAAGTCTTACAGTTAGTCAACACCTGGCAAACCAATCTGGTACGAAATTATCTGCAGGTCATCGATGAGAGCACATATGAGAAGCTAAGCCCATCTCGCCGGGCTATGCATCCTTACGAGAAAGCCCTGGGAAGGGCCTGCCGAGATCACCTTTCCCTAGTTCGGCTAGATTACATTGATCTAATGCGACGTTGCGCCCCGCTCTCCGATCGCACGAAACAGATCCTGGAGATCAACGAAGAAGATCATGGAAAGGCTATCATGGTCTTCACTGTCGTTACAGTCATCTTTTTGCCATTGTCATTCGTTACAAGCTACTTCGGTATGAATGCCTCTGACATCAGAGGCATGGACGAAACACAAGCTGTCTTCTGGAGCGTTGCCATACCACTAACCTGCGTGACCGTAGGCTCTTGCTTACTGATCGGTTATAATGGCGATAGCATACGGGACCTACTCTCGTCCATGTATCGCAAAACGATGAGAAAAGAGAGAGACACAGTGGAAGCCGCTAGTATAACCGTTGCGCAACGCCAAGGGCCGTCCAAATCTAAGGGCGGTTTAGACAGTATCATTGACCCGTTTGGCGCAGCTTACGAAGTATTTCCTAGCCGACGGCGTGACCTATACAGAGCGAGTTATGGCGATGATTATTTTGACGAGTGGTATGTGCCAGACCACCCTATGAGCAAGTCCCCATATCTTTCTCAACCATATTCGTCTGGTGTTCCAGCGAAGGGACAACACTCATACGCCAGTCCGGCACCCCTAGCAATCGAAGCACGCCGGCAATCACTATACCCATACCCACATGTACCCGACAGAAGATCGTCACGTATGGACTACAAAAGTTCACCATACATGCCTTACAAGGAAGCTGCGCCAGTCCGCCCTCGTCCACACCACATAATGAAGGGTCACTACGCCAATTCGAACGACCTGTTCAACCCATTCAGTCCGACCAGTCATGTCGATCCGTATGCAGATGGTGATCTTCGAAGCAGACTTAACATCTACGGTCATCCCATGTCTCATCTTCCACCTTACCCACCACCACGACGTATGTCAACAAAAGACACAACTACCCGCTCACGCTCGAGGTACTATGACGACGACGGCGACGGCGATGACGACGATGAATGGTTTGAACGCGGTGGCCGTGTTGAAGTAGGATCTAGATATGTACGACATGGCAGGTCACGGAGCGGTAGTTGGAGCCGTAGCCGAAGTCGAAGCCGGAGTCGCGACCGGTTCTACGAAAGGGCACCTGTGCGTCGCGTCCACTATGCAGATGAACCTGTAGAAAGTGTCAGACACCGCGTCCCATCTGGGGACTCTTTTACATACGGCGCAGACAATGTCTCAGGCCGCCCACGAAGGGGAAGAGGGGAGGACCATGCGGGGCTTGAAGAAGAGATGGAGAGGCTGAGAGAGGAGGCTGAGAGGGAAGGGAAATATCTGAAACGGCATAGGCATAGGTAGAGATTAGGTAAAGAACTTGCGGTACTCCAAATCTCGTTTTGGCCTAAAATCCGATGTTGATGTTTGCTCAAACGAAAAGGAGTCATACTGTGCTTGGGTGAGGAAGATCTATCTATTCCATAAGTGCTTTGATATGACCGTGACGTGACAGTCCAATCCGCAGTATGCGACCCGAGCGAGGTCCGTAGAAACCCACGATCGAGTATTTACAATTTTCACTAGAAGAAAGACGAAGTAGTTTTAAGCACCATTTAATTAACTATTACTACGGGAACACGGCAATAGCGACAAACTAGGAATTTTCGTTGACCAAAAGCTCCTGATGACTTCGGGTCCGCCCCAGCAACCATCTCCCCATTACGGGCGCAATCGTCCTACACCACTCATAAACCGCCGAAAGCAAGAAAGAAGAACCAAGAAAACATGCTATTTGCTACTCATGTGCGCGTGCGCCGTGGCGCAATCGTGGTATCATCCATGATCAAAAGGTAGGAAAGTCGTAATCATGACTCGCAGCCCCAAGCGTATCGGGTATCACTGGTCGACCAACAAGCATCTAAACGCGGCCCTGGAAGACGGGGTTCTGGTCACCGAAGGTAGTGTTATACTCGCCGGGAGCCGGGGCACCAGTGGGGTGAGCGGGATGAGTTGCTGAAGTAGTTGTGGCAGTAGGGTCGTTCAGACCAGTTGAACCAAGGCCAGTGGAGCCGAGGCCAGACGATCCAACAGGTGCGGCGGTGCCGGTGGTGTTGAAAGCATCGTCAACCTGAGTGCCGAAGCCTTGGGTGCCAGTGGTGGAAGGAACGCCGCCGGCGAGACCAGTAGCAGCAGCACCACCCATCAGACCCTGACCAGTGGTAACGCCTTGACCACCGCCGAGGCCACCAGCGTTAGTGTATTGGCTGTCGTACTGGTTGGCGGATGGGTTGATGCCCTGCGAGGCTCCAAGACCGCGAGACTCCTCACTGGTGCTACCGTAGCCGCCTGCGCGACCGTGGGGCTTGCGAGTGACCTTGCCAACCTGAGGCAGGCTGGAAGTCTCCTTGGCGGAGCCGATAGAGAAGATGGGGCTCTCCCACTTCTCGCCCTTGCCGGCAAGCTCCTTGTACTCAGTAGCCTTGGAAGAGATACCGCCGGGTAGGGAGATGTTCTTGAAGATGGAGTCGTGCTGAGTGACAGCCATGTTGACCTGGGTGTCCTTGGTCTTCTCCTTGACCTGCTCCTTCTTCTGCTTGCCTTGCATGATGCGGTGCTGCATAGCAGAGGCGTAGCGCTGGTACATGTTCTGAATGTTCTGAGGGTCGGGGTTGCGCTTGGCCTCAGCCTCGGCGCGGTCAGCCTCAGTCTTGATGTCGAAGAGAAGGCCGTCAAGCTGGTTGGCGGAGTCCTTGATCTGCTTCTCCAAGACCTTCTGGATGACAGGACGCATGACCTTGAGAAGAAGGGGCTTGAACATGTTGAAGAGGAGCTTGTGGTTGCTCTTCTTCATCTTGATCTGAAGGTTCTTAATGTCAGACTCAACCTTGGTGACCTTGAAGAAGTGGGTCTGCGCGTTGTTCTCGCGGGCCTTGTCAGCTGTCTCCATCTCAACCTTGAAGCTGAAGCCGGAGCCACCCATGAAGATGTCCATAACACCCTTGTCGGTGATGGATGGGAAGCCTTGCTTGCGCTTGATGTAGTAGGAAACATCCCTGAGATCCATCTGTACACCCGAGACAGAGAGCATGACCTTGTTCTTGTTCTTGCTCGAGATGGACTTGCGTCCCCAGCGCCAGTAGTTGTCCGAGCCAAACTCCAAAGAGTTGGGAGCAAGGTTATCACCCTCGATGACGAGGTTCTCAACGACGGCGTCGACCATGGGGTCGCTGTATTCGATACGCGGGATAGGGACGTAACGGACGTTCTCGAAGATGGACGGGAGGATGACGTCGCTCAGGTCCTTGAGAAGGTGGGGCTTGAACACAGTCTGACCGTTCTCATCCTGACCGAGGTCAAGGAAGAGCTTGTTGACAGACTCAGCGAACTGTTTGTTCTGCGGGTCAGCGTCGAACTGCTCGCCAACGAATTTGAACTCGTCGGCGATGCGGTCAGTGTGTCCACGGTAGCGGCCGCGAAGGAGGCGGTGACCATCATCGTAGATCTGGTTCCACTCCTCGTTGCTACGGTCTTCGAGGATGAAGCCCTGCTGTTGGAGAGTCTTGCGGATGAACTGGTTGATGCGAGTGAACCAGTTCCTGAGCTCTGGATCCTGGTCGGCGTCCTTGTAGACCTGGTTGATGGACTCAATCAAGTCATCGAACGAGGTGTTGTTTGCAAAACGCTCAAGAAGAGTCTTCATGTTGGTCAGCCACTTGTTCTCCGAGAGGAAGCCTAAATGCGCACCTTGAGATCAGCTTCAGCAGTAGTTAGGGCATCGTTCTGATGCGCACCTTGAACAGAACCCTTGCCCTGCTGGCCAAGGTTCTTACCATGGCCGGAGTACTGCTCGGCGAGGTTGAGTAGGGTCTCGATGGCACGCTGGTAGTCCTGGTGGCCCTGAATCTCGACTACCATCTTCTTAAGACGCCAGATGGTCTGCTCGCGGCGCTCCTCAGGCATCTTGCCCTTGAGGTAGTTGTTCATCTGGTCGCGGCGGGCGCGGGCCATGTTCTTATCCTCCTCAGAAGTGTTCGCGTCAACCTTCTGCTTGGCAGCGTCGAGAGCACCACGGGCGTCGACGCCAGTGCTCTGGCCGGTCTGACCCTCGTGGGCGCCAAGTTGGGCGGTGTGCTGAGGGTCGCGCGAGCCATCAGGGTTAGCAGCCTGGTTGATGTCTTTGGCATGCTCCTTCAAGTCACCCTTGGCCTCGTCCTTGTTCTTGTTGCCGAAAGGCAGACTGCTCTTAGCTTGATTGCGAAGGTTCTCGCGGTTCAGGTCGGAGGTGTCGTGCCAAGTGTTGTCCTCAGCAGGCTCATCTAGCTTGTTGAGACGGTCTTCTGAGGGCTTGACCTTGTTGGCGGTGTTCTGGGCGGCATCGCCAGCCATGTCACGGAGCAGAACAGTGGCATCTGAAAGCAACTTCCTGAACTGGCCGTTGGAAATGAGGAGGGTACCGAGAGTCCGTAGACCATCAAGCGCCTCGTTTCCGTGCTGCTTCGCTGTGTCCTTATCAACAGGGGCATTGGGGAGGGCGGCGCTGTTGCCACCGAGGTGCTCTGCCTGCCAGATGAAGTCCTGGAGGAGGTTGCCCTCGTTCTTGGTGAGTAGTAGGATCTTGGCCTGCTCGATGACCTTCTTGAGGTCGGTCACCAGATGCTGACCCTCGCTCGACAGCTTCTTGGATGGTGAGTTCAGCGACCTGTGGGCCAGCGCGGAGTTGAGCGCGACATCGATTTGCTGGTTGGAGGGGACCTTTCCGTTAGAGAAGGCTAGTTGTGGTCAGCGCTTGTTTACATTTGCGTGTGCGACGCGAAGGACATCGACGCGCCATTGCACGTGTTCACATACCCTCGAAGATGCCGTACAGCTGTAGCTTGTTGTTGACATCCTTCTCCTTCTGCTTCAAGTCCACCGGACCTGCAGTCTGTTAGCAATGTTTGGGGGCAAAGCGGGGTAGCTAGACATACGATTTACGGAACTCATGGTGTAGGACTGCTTCTGTGGGTATCAAGGTGGGGTATCAAAATGCAGACGCAGAGCTGAAAACAATGGAGGTAGGGTGGATGGGTATTTCGAGGGGATGGGTATCAAAGTGGTTTGTGTGGGAGGGAGGCGGGTGAGGGCAGAAAGCAGCTTTGTATTTGGGCTGGCTGGGTAACACGCGCGATTGCAGCAACTACGTCACTGCGTCGTAGCTTGCCGCTTGCGAAGAGCCTGGACTTGGAACAGCGACCGACCACGACCAACTTGCCTGACCCCGCGACTACCGGCCACCATTTTCCCGCTGCCAGCGATCGAATTCCGCGGACACGCTCACAGAGCGCGGCGGCCCAGTTCCCTGACGACGTGCCGTCCAATGCCACAACTGTCCACGTTTTGCCTGGGGCACGAGGCCTGCCACGCCCAAACGAGGTCGCCCTGGCCTGTATGACGGAGCCTCTAGGTATGTTTGGGGGTTCGATCGGCACCAGGTTTCCCAAAGGATGCCAAAACATGTGTCCCGCTTGCGTCATGGGTAATTCGACAGCGCCACACCTACCTGGCAATCTCGATTCCGTCTGATGCGAAGTGTGGCGCCGCCCAGCCTAGCAAACTCTTCCCTGCATGTATCAGACAACCCCGTTTCCTGCGGACTTCCTGCTTGCCCACGCCTTCTCACCCCCTCGCGAAGTACGTGATGCTCTCCTTTCCTGTCGCTCTGTCTAGTTCGATGCGCCACACCTGGAGGAATGATACCAAGCTTTCCTTGGCGACACGCTAGACGGCTAGCGCGAGTACCGCCGGCCACACCGCTCGCACGATGACGACGTCCATCTTCGAGTTCACGATGCAATCTCGTGGGGCGCCTGCTCATTCGCCGCCCGTCTACTTCAATGGGTCCTGCTGGCGCGTCGCCCTCACGTTCCCAAGTTCGTGCGCGCCACACACGCATCAAACGGCTCCGACCCCAGCACGTGAAGTGCGGAAACCGGGAAATTCCAGACAAGGCCAATCCTGGAAGCGCTCTCCCTTCAGATCTGCCCGCCCTGACCGATCTTGTACAGAACTGGTCGACGTGCCTGCGTGCTAGGGCGTAGATCAGCCGATCCACTAAGCCTGTCAGGCGCTACTTGTGCCTCAACCTACAAAACGCTCTTACTAAAAGTTTGAGATACCATCTTGCTCCTGTCCCTGTACTCGGAACGTTCCGATTATTCATGTACAAAGTTGTCAAATGCACGAACCATCAGAGGGTTAGTTCGGAAGTCAACGATGTATCCGACCACACCATAGCCGCACCGGCTATCCCCACTAGCGTCGTAGTGTCGTCTCAACGTCAAAGAACTTGCCCCTAAAGTCTGTGCCTTTCATGGCCGCATTGCCTAAGCTCGGGAAGGTTTGTGTCGTTAGGGTTCTCATCGTGTACTTGATGCGAACGTGCTGTCGTACAAGTATGTCGGAAGTGTCAAGCAGGCGGATCATACCTGGGTTACAGCCCAGAAGAAGGCGAGGCGACCGTGGACAGAAGAGGGGAGTACCTTGATTGCTGCAGACGCCGACCAGCCATAATCTACACAATATAGCAGTTTCTACAAAGCCCTGAAGTCGACTAGGAGCTATCCAGCGATGTAGCAGTCACCCATGGACTCGGGCGCCAAAATTCGTCTCCTTCTCCTCTCGACCACCCGACGACATGCATACCTCAAACAACCACTATGAGTCTTCCATGAGGCTCTCGATGACCTTGTCCACCTCGTCGATAAGCGCACCGATCGCATTCTTCCCGTTCTCGATCTTCGCTTTAACAACTGTAATCGATTGGTAGTTGATATGGAAGAAGATGCGGAGATACGCCGGACCGCCGGCTGCGGTACCGTTGACTGCGGTGGTGTTCAAGTTGCGGCTCATGATATACACATCGGTTATTCCCGCCTTGGAGAGATCCTTGGACTGTTTGCTGACAATGATGGAGGCGATATTTTCTGACAGATCTCTTAGCTTTGTTACTTACATGGGTGGAAGAAATAGCCAGTGGTGGGATTGCGCGTGCAACACAATCGACTTCAAGCATTGACAACAATACCCTCGAGGAAAGATAGCTCCGAAAAGACTCAAAGACAGTTGTACTTACGAGCCAGCAATAAAACGTTCTTGGCTTCATTAGTGGCGTTCAAGAGACTGCTGGTGTCTCGAAAAGGTTGTAGCAGCTCTAGAATTCGGTACTCGAGGGTATGGTCAGAGACTGGGACGTTGAAGGCCTTGACGGAACTTTGCACTGGGCTATTGAAGGCGGCATCCTGGGGCCGCGGAGGCAGGGAGGAATAGTACTGATTAGGATATGGTGGCGTGTAGGAACTATGTGAGCCCGACATCATGTATATCGACATCGTGGAGTAGATATTGTGCGCGGGGTAGTGAGAGTCTGGGTACGGTCAACCCTATATTTATATACCCTCGGAACTCTGCGTTACCGCCAAGGTGAGCTAAGAAGCTCGCGATGGAGTTGGGGCAGTATTTGACCCTTCATTGCTGTCGCAACCTTTGCGGCCGATAATTCACTCCAATCTCTCTTCGCCAAGATGATCACAACATTGACGCCATTGATACCATATCTGCATTCGGTATCACTCAGTTGACTATCACACTGGCAGTAATTAAGCGCTTGGTAAGCCGTTTGATTAGTTCTCGGGTGTTTGGTTGGAAACCGGTATACAAAACGGCCAACGAGAGTGGCATTATCATGTCTACGCTACCACCTTCTAGATAATGTACATCTGTTCATCCACCCGGAGAAACTACCTTGAACCATCTCCGCGCAGTAAATAGCTACCATTCCCCTCGTCATCACTAAGTGGCATTAACTCAGCTTTTCTAACAACTCTGAACAGAAACCCCGGATGAAAGACCGCCATGATAACCACCACCGCGAACATGAGCGCCGCATCGAAGACATACAAGTACGCCTCTGTCTGATACACCTTACTCTCTGGCCCTTCGATAAACTCCGCCAGCCGGAAAATGCTCCGCACAACGACAAGCACACTGACACTGTACAAAGCCCACATGTAGCGGCGCCACTTGACATGTGTTCGACGTGACGTGCTGGTAGGCTCGTTGTTCAGCCTCCGATGAAACACGACTGCCATTAGGATGAAGAAGGCGAAAGCGACCAATTGCGTACCCAGTCCTGCGATCACGACGGTGGTTCCAGTCTTCACTCCGTCTGGGTCACCGGAAGCTTGCATCGCCGACCCCATGATCTGACATACGAAGGATCCGATATCGATGATGACGTATATTTTCGTCGTCCAGCGCGGATTCATTACAGCGTGGTGCGTAGCATCGAGAGAGCGAATAAGGCGACCGAGCGTCATGTAGATGGTGGCTGCGAGAAGTGGTGCGGCCGCAAGAATAAGCATGAGTTGAAGGAGATAAGGGCTGCCTTGTCGGATATTCTTTGAGGACCAGGCGCGACCGTAGTAGCCGGCTGCTTCGCCTGTGGATCAAATTATCAGCGATGTGCTTTTCGGTGATGGGGTCCAGCACCCAGGTAACTGACCTACGCAGCCCAGAACGAATGGAATGAAGAACCAACTTCGTAATGGAATAAGCATGATAAAATGCGTCAGGCCGCCGATCGCGAATAGTATGAGGAATGTGTAGCCGGCGCCTGCTGAGGGCGTGTAAGGGTAAAGATCGAAGTCGGCTTCGCCTCTAGGAACAATGTCGTGAGACGCCATCTGTGGATTTTGGGTCGATAACAGCCAAGGAAACTGTTCGGTAAGCAAGAAACAAAAGATGAAAGACAGAATATGTACGGAGATGTAGAATATGATGGAACGAATGAAGATACCTTTCAAGACAAGACTGCGCGCCGTTACTATATACACATCCTGACTCGGCACATTTTTCGCATTCAACTCTTTCGTTCTCTTATCTCTCTCAAGCATTACTACAAGAGGCGCAGCGCCGCGCGGCATCTTTTGACACCATGCTTGGTTGTTTCGTGTTGGTCTGTGGGTCGCGTAACGAAAGAGAATACGCGCCGATACGCCTCGCGACACGCGAACACCCTACCACACCCATACCGTCCGCTCCATTCTGGTAATAGTAACTCTGGATGTTCAAGCACCTGAATTTCCCTTCACGAGCATCGTCAGACTCAATGGCTAACATGTTTAATGCAATTTTGGGCAATACCTAGGTATGCCAAAATGAGGCTAAACACGAAAACGGAGTCGATGGCGATATCTTCGCGGGATCTGATGCTAGCCTGCGAACATTGTTAATGCTAGATGTTCTTTGGATTGGTACTATCTTATACACAGAAACAACGTTGATACAGTTCCGAAAGCAACGGTGACCGAATGCGCCTAGAAGATGGCGATAACTCCAGGTGGGCTTCCAATACCACCCCTAACGTGTAATGGAGCACTTGTCATGAAGAAAGTGTACCGGCCCATCTCCTTGCATCTCTGACTGAGCTTCTCAAGATCCCACATCTCACCGATAGCGGTACCCCAATGAACGAGCAGCCACTCGTGTAGGCACCATCCGTCGGTAAACTTTGGTGGCCATGCTTCAAAAGCGACGGTATCACCAGCGATCGCCGCGAGGTGACGGTCGTAAAGCCAACGTACCGTCTTTTCATTGGCTTGAAGACCAATCGCGACACTATTATCGCGAGTACCGCTCTTGCGCTCCGCTTCGTTCGCGTTACTAGAATGGTCAGACATGTCCCTCAACGTGGTAGGATAACGTACTTGTGCCATCTTACATATCCGCTACGAATCATCATAATGTCTCCCTGCTTCAAAGTGGTACCTTGCCACTTCAGCGTCTCTTCAATCTCCTCGATAGGGATCTCGTGTCTCGACACCGCGCTCGGTGCCTTCTTCCCGTTCTTCTCTTCGTACCAACTAAGCCAGTCGCAAAGCACACCTCTTCCAACAATGCCACCTCTTTCGCACCACTTGTGCGTACCGTTAGTAACACTGTTGGCTGCTTCTTCATGCGAGAGACCGTTGTAATACATGCCGCTTGCTTGATGCGCGAAATGCTTCAAGCTATCCCACTGAGAACCAGCTTGAGTGTTGATGTGAAGTTCGTCATCGTTAGCACAGAACTCGGAGAAGTCCGCGAAATCGATTTGCTTTTGCTCGAGCTCTTTTCTGTTGAACCCTGGAAATTGCACGTTGTGTAGTTCCCAGTCAAGCTGGATGTGCTCGCCGGTGGTGATCTCTTTGGAGGCCGCTTTGACGACATCCGAGGTGAGCAAGTTGATCGCTGTAGCCTGTTAGATACACGATTGCTGTATTAGGTACAAGTTGTTTTACTTCCGACTTCATCCTTTTGCCCGTCTTTGTCAAAGAATCCCCATATGCTGCCCTGTGGCATGCCCTCGACCTTCGGTAGGTCGTCAAACGCCGGGAATTTGTACTCTTGTTTCGCCATATTCACTGTATCAATACTTTTGCTATCGTAGGTCAAAGATGTTACTCTACAAAAGACTTCAAAGTTACTTTAGAGAAGCTTGATATGTGGGGTATTGTACACCGAGGTCAATCCGGACCCCGCATCCAATGCTGATCCGCATCATGTGGACGCCTTTTCGCTATGGCTTCAATGACGTTGCAAATCATCATTTAGTGCGTCGCGTGTATGTGCTAGTCATGAGCCGAAACAGGGTGGTTGGTAGCCGGACCCGCTTCCGAAAGGTGGAGATAATGCTGGTTATGGCACGCTTAGGTAATCCCTCCGTCCGGCATCCGAAAGATAGTCAAAGCGCAATGGCACCATCCCTCTTGCTACGAAGATACCTTTCCAGCAACCACCCAAATTTGCTTAACTATGCTCTATATTACCATCTATTTCATCTATTCGGTCACTGTGGAGAAACCTGCGCACACGGTCCAGCATATAGCTCGCCTTCTTTAGGGGTTCCCACGGCCTCATCGGAGAAGGAACAATGCCCCGCTCCATTTGAGTGTACTTCAACAACACCCCATATTAACTTCTTAACGGCGGTTTCATCACCTCGTTCCTTGTCAGCGGCTGACAAGTGACAAGCTGCGCTCATGGCTGCACTACAACTGCCAACCAGATTGGTTCCCGATCGCAAAGGAACGAATCCTATTCCGACGCCGACAATGAGAAGGATACTCGCAACGATGATCACAGATATCATAGCGATGGGAGAATAGCCGCATGTATATCGTACATCTGATGGCACACTATCACCGATCCCATAGAACTAATGTAATCGTCAGCTATCACACTAAGTTCAGAACATGTCCAGGCAAAGAGCCTACCTCTATGGCGGCAAAGAAGATGCTTTGTGATATCATCCAATGTAGCAACCCACTGATTGCCATAAGTGGTACTGCAAACCGATACGGTAGCGATAAGAAGTATGTCGATCTTTGCAACCCTCTCGGGGCGCTCGAAACCCTCAATCCCTTTCGAACGTATGAATACGATGACCATTCTTTTCCTAGCAGCATACACGTCAACAGGCTGTTGTATGAGAAGTAGATGATCGAGAGCACAACCTGTGGCACGTTGGCTATGAGAGTGTTGCCTACTATGGAGTCGACATTGTGTTCACGTGGATACTCGATTAGTGTCCGAGCGTCGATGGCACCAAAACCCAACGCAGCGAGATTGCTAAGGGAGTGACTTTTACCAGACCGGAGATAACGTAATCCGTAGGAAAGAAATCCTCCTATGGTTGCTATCGAGATCAGAAGCCTGGGGGATGTTAGCGAATCTTGTGATGCCAGAATGACGCGTGCGCACTTACACAGTGAAAGTGCTAATACGACGGGTTAGGCTTGTAGCATCCTTCCATCTATACGTACGACGTGTCCATCTTTTCGGTCCAGCAATGAAATTGTCTCTCGCACTTTCGATGTTCTTGGAAGAAGCGAGGCACATATTCCGAGTCCATGGGTCCGGCTGTTTCAGGAAAGAGACCACAGCGTCACCCATTGTCATGAGTGGCTGCTCCCGGATGCGAAGAGCAACATGGAAAATCAATATGGCCTTGATGAAATTCAGCGCTGTCACCAAGGATGCGATAGGAACGCTCCACAGAACTCGACACTCTGACTCCTTCCTTTCTCGCAAACAGTACTGTATGGGGCCTCTCATGTAGTGAAATCGAAACGCACTCGGGCTATGTTCGGTCATGCTTGATATGGTCCAGTTCTGTGCTGAATTCCTGATCTCATCTACTACCGCGTCGCAGGACTTTGGGTTTCGTGAACTCGGGTCCGCATCCGGATGGTTCGAACAAATCCACTGGAAAGTATCCTGTGGGACATACTCCCAACCACTCGTGAGCGAGTATGTCCAGAAAACCGCCGAGTTTTCGTTATTTAGGTAGTCATCGTCTGTCCTATAATTATCGATTTGGTTTCCCCACACAATGTCATCAGACTTGGCTACAACAAGTAGATCGCCTCTATGCGTTTGCAATGTTGTTGCATACGCATCGATACAATCAATGTTGTCAAGCCTTTGGAAGCGGTCTTCTTGGATCTTTTGGTGTATCTCCCGGGTGAAAGCAAAGTCGGCACCTTTGATGGGATTCGTACATCCTAGGCATTCTGGGCTGTCGACGAAATTTTGTCTAACGCCGTAAACTTCGTAGCTGTACGCTGCAAGAGACAGATACACGACCGAGTTATAACTGCTTATATTAGTCTAAAATAGGGTTTTGCATCCATCTATTACTTACAAGAGATGTAGAGGTAGTGATGAGAGCGCTAGAGCTGACCAAAGAAGTACGCGCTTCTTGCTAATGCGACGTAGATTTCGAACGCTTAGGACACCTATGTCCATCCACTGTCCTCGAGAATGGGCGACGTCGATCTCCGTTCTGGTTGGAGCGGATAGACACTGCATAACGTAATTCGATGAAGACAACAGTATTGTACTCAACAAGTTGATGATGACATGAAGTACTGCGTTGATCTTGCGCGCACGATCACAGTCCCCTCTGAATAGTTCACCGCTATCAGTATTGGTGGCCCATGCTATAGTGGCGATCAGGTTTGTGAGAAAGACTATGGAGGCTGCGATCGCGCAGTTGAGGGCGCCGAATCTCCAACCTTTGGTGAATGTAATTCTGGACTTGTTCAAAGGTTCGGAGTGCGGCATCTGCATGTGGGTAAGGTGTTGTAGTTCCGATGCTGTGATATCGTCATCTACCGGATGGCGTTTGCGATGCTTGTACTTTGTAGAGAAGAAGCCGAACATGATGTTGAACTCCACGGATTGTATGAGCGTTCTGAAAGATCTCATAGCAGCCATCTATACATATATTTGTACTGGTGTTTGTCCGCCCTGCCAAGACCCACGCCTCGTAAGCAAAATGGGGGCGGCGGAGGATTGTTCATCATTGGTGCTCCCTGGT